AAACCTTTAAATAATTTGGGGGAAAATTTTGCAACAGTAGACCATTTTGTACCTGTGGTTGGCAGTGATGGAGGTACAGAACTGATCACAGCGATTTAAGTGATAACACAGTTGGGACTAAAATGTTTTCAGCACATCTGGGCAAAATGCATTACTTTTGATAAGGGTTCTGACCCAGCCCAAAGAACAGGGTTGGTACATAGATAAATCACTGAGGGGAAAGAGAGTGTAAAATGTTCCAGATTCTATCTTTGCAGAATCTCTTACCAAATTTCAGTAATTCTATAAATTAAAGAATGTCAACAACAATCAAAATTGCAGACAAGAAAGACAGTTGGCTAACAAGAAATGTGTAAATCTGTTTAACAACATGCTCGGTGCTTCCGAGCTCAATGGAGAAATAGGCAACTTTTCTCAGTGGGAATAATTTAAAGGAAATGCGAAACAAGGATCATTGTACAGCCTAGCCTTTCAGATCAATATTGGTAATAGCACAAACAAGAATGGAGTATGCTTTTTGTCACTCAGCTCTATGCTTTCTCTAATAAACACTCAATTTAAGCTTTTTCTACACAAGGATGTATCGTGGATGATATCTGGATGGTTCTTTTTATAATCTGTGAAGAGTTGCAGTGTGACTATGGAGTCGGTAGAACAGCATATGAATTTTCAGTTCTAACGCAGTTGAGGATTCTTAAGGTAGTAATTAATTTCATCTTTTTCATTTTCTTATTGCAGCGTCTGGTAAGTGAATACGAGCTTACTGGTAAATCCTAAACTACTCATTTTAGTGAGTGATCACTAGTCATGCAAACCATACTAGACAGGGAAAAGAAAGATTTCAGGGAATCTACTTAATAAATGACTCTGCCAGTGTACAGTGATAATCAAAATACTAAATAATGGTCTTAAAACACAAGTATCCTTGTGCAGTAGCAAAAAATGGCTTTTTCTGCTTGCACGGTATAAGCGTATGGTGGGTCAAGAGAACTCCTAAGGAACATCTGGTATACAGGCATAATTCGTGTTGATGTCACTCATACCCCTTTTTGGTAGTCAAATATGGTTTGGGTCCTAGAATCTCTTTAAGGTGTGGTTTAATCCCTAAGCCAGTATTACGTTACCTGTACAGACGCAGACCTGGAGATGTAGAACCTATGCAATGAGACTTGAAAAAAACTGAAATTGGTTCTTTACTTTTCTCAAAACATGGGGGTTTGGGTGGTTTTTTTTTATATGTGCCAGGTACAGAGCTAAAAATATCAGTATCATTTTTGGGGGATTGTTTTCATTTCAATAGTTTTTCTTTACCTTGTTGCAGGAGAGGGGCAAGAATAGCCACCAAGTGTCTCATTCGCGTCCCTCCAATCTGTCACATACAATGCTTTAAGGTATCATTCCTGCAAACGGTAATTTGAGAGTGTAGGCATACCATATTAATGAAACAGAGTACCTCAGGTGACTGCATAGGTTAGCAGATCTCATTCTGTCCTTACAGCTGCTGGGGCAAACTCATGGTGCCTTTTCCTATCAAAGGGAGTAATTTCTTGCATGAGGAATTATTTCTTCATACCTCTACAAAGCTAGTGCTATGATGTAAAAGGTGTTGTAAATCACTATCAGGGTTGCTATAATGGATTATGTAATATATTATTCTAGATGGGGGATCTGGTCTTGCTGAGTAGTTAGTCTTGCCAAGATAGTAAGATTAGGTGGGCTGGCAGATGGGAGTCTGGGGAGCAAATGGGTTGCATTAAGCTGCACGTAAAATACTAAGCATGGCAGGTCAAGGTAATTCATTGGTGGTCTCCAATCCAGGGTGGGCATTGGGATGAGCAATATCAAACTATACTTCATACATAGATTGTTAACTTTGGGGCTCATAGAGAATATACCAAATGATAGTCCTTGAGGATGTTAAAATACAGCAGAGTCTTAGAAGACCAATAAATTATATTGGCTATAGTATTGTACAATTCAGTGAGACTGGTGTTGCTTTTGAATGGTTCTTCTTAGCTGTTTACTCAGTAGGTTTTGACCAACAAATACAGGATGAAATATGAACACCAGCAATAGAAACCTGCCCAGTGTTCCCATGAGATTTGTCATCATCATTCTTTATAAGAGAGCACCTGGGCTACTCTGTCCAGACAGCATCTGCTTCTTCCACATAGGATTTTTTCTTTTTGGTTTAGAGTTATTAAACACACAAGATGCCAAAGTACTTGCTGATATGAGAAACAAGTCCCTCTTAGTCTGCCTCTCATCTTTTTTCCCCACATGCTGAATGAGTGAGAGAAGTCTTTTGCTCTGCTTCTTCCTCAAACCATCCAACAGGCAACTCCGCTGCTATCCATGGCTTCGCCAGAAATCTCCATTGCACTATTCATAGCTTCCATGCTAGTACCAACTTTGGAAAAACACTGTTGAATTTCCATCTGCTGTTATTGTTTCTGAGTGGCAGCAAAAACGCACTGAGGCACTTACCTGCATGTCTTACAAGTTAAATTGCATTGAATTTATACAGAGGTCAGACTGGATATTTGCAACTGCTAGAAATTATTTACAGTGGACATTACTGTTTGTATGAACTGAATGTAAGTCTCCTTATTCCTCTTGGCAAGATGTCTGTTTGAATTAAATCTTTTTAAAATACTGCTGAAGGTCCGACTTTCCTAATTTCTAGCAGTTTCTGACCCCATTAGCTGTTGGAAGGAGGGTTAAAAAGGTGTTTATTGCATGCTTCTTTTGCCAGTGATTTCTTGAGATAAGATTTTTTTTCTATCCATGTTTCCTGTTGAATCAGGAGAAGAGTTCAAAGTGTGTGCTTATTTTGTGACATGGGCACAATCCTGCAAAGGTGATGAACGTAATATTTAAGTATCTTTAATAGTTGGCACTTACTTCTGATGCCGCAAAAGTGGGAATGCGGTTGCGTATAAGGATGCCATTTTTAATTTCTTATTAGGAGTGCCTGTAGGAGATACGTGTTTTCTGCCAGGTTGGAAACTGTCTCCTGGGTTGGATAAAGTTATGAAACTCCAAGAAGGAAATAGACACCAAGTGGTTACGTGTGCAAGCTACTGTATATATTAAGGAAGCAGCTTAGACAAGTGGTCTCCTGCTCCAGTAGAACAAAGCTGCCATTAGACAAACAGTGCTAACCAGATTATGTACTTAATGAAATATCAGGGCATTTAATTCACAAGTGATTCTTTAAGAAGCAAGCCAGGGATACTGAATTTTAGAGGACATAGTCTATGCTACACCAAGTCTCTGTTTCATGAATAGCAGTAACTAGCAATAACAAGAAGCCTTCAATCTTTAGTGTAAAATTCTGCATCCCTTTGCTGACTCTGCTGCCTCTTGTGTCAATTCCATGTTGTATATGTGTTGCATGCGCAGAGGCAGGTGTGAGCAAAAGGAAGACAGGATGGAGATAATAGCCTCTGCTAATCCCCCACTGGCATAATGTCCATTAGGAGTCAGTGACGTAAAGTCGAAACCCTGCTGTGTCTCTTCCCTCAAGGTCGCAGAACCAGCTCCGTGTATCCACCAGTCTTCATCCAAGCACAACTTGTTCATCATGGAGAAGTGTAACCTGAATGTAAATCTGATCTTTTACTGTGTCATTGACTGACTGACGCTATACATCAGTAAGATCTCAGCTCAGTTCCCCTCTCCACTTTCAGATGCCAGTAGGCGTATTGGCAAACCTGATAAGCAGGTAGCTGGGCATGGCTCCAGAGTACTCCTGCTTCCCAGCATTATGGAAAGACAGGAAAGACTAAGAGGGTGACCAAGCACTTGCACAGACTTCCAGAATGGCTGTGAAGTCTTCATCCTTGCAGATACTCAAAACCCATCAGAACATGGTCCTGGGCAACTGGCTGTAGGTGGCCCTGCTTAAGCAGAGAGGTTGAACCAGATGACCTGCAGAGGTTCTGTCCAACCTCAGCCATTCCGGGTTTCTGTGAAATTTTTACTACACTTTAATAATGTTATGTGGTTATACACAGACCTGCACTTCCTTCTCTTCCTTCAAAATGAATCTGAGATCTCTGTATTGCATCTTTATGGATAAATTTTTCAGAAGGAAAAGTTATGTACCATAGCTCCATTGATTATGAGTCATGAGAACACTTACATCGAATGGTTTGTAATTTACCCTGTTTAAAAATTTCCTTTAGTTTAGAATTGCCTTTTGTTTGCCATCAGAATTGTTTTGGGTTTTTGCTCAAATTGAAAATACGTTTATGTTATCAAAACGAATGTCATTGTGGGAAAAGGGTCAAGCATTGTCAATGTTTTTTACAGCAGTGATACTTGATTTCTTTTGTTTGGCGTCCGGTAAACCACTTCAGGAGACAAAGTATTATTCTAATACATGCACATACACGCACACACATATTTGTATGCTCACGTATTTTGTCCCAAGTCCAAGCTGTAGTAAATGTTCTTGTGGAACACATCCAGGTCAGGTATGATCAGTACAGCTTGGGATGTGTATTGCTGGTACTTGTCTCCTGTGGAGCTTTCTTTAAGCTAACAATCTCTCAGTAAATAGTTCTTATTACCAGGTCCGTAAAGCACCCTGCAACCAGGGATCTGATCTTCAGTGTACAAGTATATCTGGGTTTATGTGAAACAGGAGATATCTAGTATGTTATTGGATCTTTTCCCATCAAAGCTTTTGAGGTAAAAATAAATATATTTATTTTTCTGAGGTAATATCTCACTCAGAAGAGAGCAATCATGTTCCAGTTTCTCCCTCTTAACCAGTAGATGCTGGAACAGTCTGAAAAGTAGAAGATACTCTAGACTGTGTTTCAGTAAGTCTGTAACATAGTATGAGCTTTTTATTCAGGAAATTCAGTGGGTTCAGAAGCATGGGGCTGGTAGACAAGATCTGCAGTGGATTTTAATATAATGTTTTCATATCAAATGTATCATGTCATTTTATATTGAGTTTACATGCCACATCCTCTTTTTCTTCACAGGGTATATACCCAGTTACTTAGACAAGGATGAGCTATGTGTAGTATGTGGGGACAAAGCCACCGGATATCATTATCGCTGCATCACTTGCGAAGGTTGCAAGGTAAATGGCATGGTGGGAAAGTGGGAATCAGAAATAGCTTTCCAGCTCCTCCATTATACAGACTTCCTGAACTGTGCTGTCATACAAAAGACAGATTAGAAGTGAATGAGAACATCCAGTACTGATGATAAGCCGTATCTGGCTATGCTGCTGCGCTTCATATGCATAAGGAATGTAGTTGATTTTTGCAGTGTTTGCTTCTAAAAAGAAAACAAGAAATTTAGATTTCTGTAGCTGCTGTTTAATTGTTAGCTTTTACATTTCCATTGTTTAATGTTTCTTTGGCCATGTTCTCAGTCAACATACATCAGCATGCTCCCAGCAGCTCCAGTGAAGCTGTTTATGCAATAGATTCTGCCTATGGCCATGAAGAGTGTATAGCAATTAGCAGTGTTCCAGTGCCTCTCATCATCACTGTGAAGAAGCAAAAATCAAGGTCCCTTCCACATGCTTATACAATAGTAACATCTATCACTTGGGAAGCATTGACACCCAGTTAAAACAGTTTCAAAAAGATCTTTACTTCTTTATCTTAAGCATATTGAAATGTGCTTTCAGCCCTAAATTGCATCCCAAAGCTACATGCAAAATTAAAAAAGGGATTGCTTTGGGCAAGCAAATAAATTAGAAGAAAAAATTGAGCAACACGATCAGGCACATCTTACATGATTTCACTGCTATAAATACGCCTGAATAGCTTGAGATCATGTAAGAAAGCTATTCTTTCCTGCAGAAAATAACAAATTATTGTATTTCTAAACAAATGGGACCACACATGTGTTGGACTAGTGTCATGGGACCAAGCCACAAAAGTCATATTCTCTTCATCCCCAAAGCCTGGAATATTTGAATCTGAGATTTTGGGTTTGGTTTGGCTTTAGAGCCCCACATCACAGTAACTCTTGTGTTGAAGTAGGGCCTTCAGTTGTACGTTTTCCTACGTTACATTTATGAAATGCACAAAGACCTAAATATCCTATATACAGCAGATTTGTGGTAATATTCATAATGGGTTTATACACATGCATATGTAATATGTATGAAAAAATATTTATATCTGAAAAAACCTGTGGGACTGAACAAGGGTTTCTTATGCATTTGCATCCCATATACCAAGTATCAACAATACATAAAATGTGTGAGTATGACTTAATTCAGGTATAATGAGAAGTAAGCTACACTGTGGCATAAAATACCTTTTGCTTCCAGCTGAACAGCTATATCTGTCACCAGTTTTTCTATTAAGGTTTTTGTTGCTCCAACCGAAGTATTTCTCTTTATGTCTACCAAGTGTTTTAAAGATACAGCATACAAAATCTACCTTTATCTTCAGGTACAGTTCTTCTGTCTGATGTACGGTTTAAAATAATCCTTTGTGCACAAGGAGCAGAGCTAACCATTTCCAAAAAGTAATTTAACTTTTTTCTCCTATTTCTAGTTGGCTTACAAACTGACCGTTTTGTTTTGTTTTGATTTGTTGTTCTGGCAAATGTCTTCATTGTACAAGATGAGGGGGTTTGTGTGAACAATTTCAACACATACTTTGGAAGATCTCTCATGAGATCCCACGTGGAATACTGTGTATAGTTCTCGTGTTCCTATGTAAGAAGACCATGTTGGAGCAAATCCAGAGGAGGGCCACAAAGACGATCCGGGGCTGGAGCACTTCCCATATGAAGACAGGCTGAGAAAGTTGGGTCTGTTCAGCCTGGAAAAGAGAAGGCTGTTTGGAGACCTCATAGCAGCCTTCCAGTATCTGAAGGAGGCCTTCAAGGATGCTGGAGAGGGACTCTTCATCAGGAACTGTAGTGATAGGACAAGGAGTAATGGGTTAAAACTTACTTAAACAGGGGAAGTTTAGATTGGATATAAGGAGGAAGTTCTTTACTGTAAGGGTGGTGAGGCACTGGAATGGGTTGCCCAGGGAAGTTGTGAATGCTCCATCCCTGGCAGTCTTCAAGGACAGGCTGGCCGAAGCCTTGGCTGACATGGTCTAGTGTGAGGTGTCCCTGCCCATGGGAGTGGTGTTGGAACTGGATGATCTTAAGGTCCTTTCAAACCCAAACCAGTCTATGATTCTGTGATTTTTCAGCAAAGTTTTATGTAATCGATTCTTAATGAATTTGGCATTTACTTGATGCTTCCACTCAAAATCACTTTAATTGTGTAACAACATTAATCAAGGCTGACAGCCAGAAATCTGCTTTGGCAAGTGCTTTCATGAACAAAGCATTCTTTTACATGATTTCTGAAGAGTAAATTGTAAGGAAATTAAACACAAATAAACCAAGGGTGAGTTCTGACGTCACTGAAATGTTTCTCTGGAGTGTACCCATTGCATCTATTGCTATATAGGTGCATAGTAAAGGAATTTAGGAAAAAGAGTAGTTGCCTTACGATAACATTTTTTATTTATGTTTTATTTTATTAATGAAAATTAACACTTCCATGATGAAGTGTTTGGACAGAGAACAGATTCATTATCACATTGTATCTAGAGATGATTAAAGAGGTTTTCTGCAAAAAGTTTCCAAGAAATGTAAAGAAATGGGAAGGTGAAATGTGCTAGTCCCAACACAGATGATGAAGAGCCTTGTCATTGTAAAACTAGAGCTACGTTAAGTCCCATTCAAGGTTTGGAAAACACTTCCTGAGATTCATCAGAGATTTTTCCATCTCTTGCTATAACTACAGATTAGCCTGAGTCCTTGGTTGTCCAGAGCCATCTTTGATCCTCAGGGCGGAGGGGAACAGGTCCTGTCTCTAGGAATTTGTCACAAGCTTGAGAGTGAATCCAAATCCAGCTGTTGGGTAGATGAAAGTTTGAGACCTGATCCAAATCTCACGTAAGGGCATCTTGATTGTGATTTTCTGGATTTTGGCTCAACCCAATGGATCCCAGTCTTGCGAAGGATCGCACACATGCCTTATGCAACTCATTTTAATTGAGTTTTCATGTCTTAACCATTATTAAGAAAGAAAAAGTTGCACTCTTAGCTCAAGTTGGATCATGTAAGCTAAAACTCTAATAAGGACAAGGCTCTTTATTGTGTTCACTGGAATTAGAAGCTCAAGCTGAAGTACAGACTTATCCGTACATCTTAATACAACATTCTCTGTTAACAGAAATTACACACTGCTACAGGATTTTACCAGGTATTATTTAACATGATTAAAACCAGAACTTTTGCTTTCTGAAGTGACCATTCATTAGATAAAATCCCCACTGAAGAGGCTATTTATTCGGTAAAATCTCACTTGAATTTTGCCATTTTCACTGAAACCAAAGCCATTCACAGTGGCCTCAGTCACACTGGGACCCCGGTCTTTATGTCAAGGCAGTTGCAAGCTGCACTGCTGGATGTAGGCAGTCTCAAACAATGGTGAAACTTGAAACTAAAGTCTACATTTCTTGCTTTACAGCTTGTCTTGTCCACTCTTGCAGAAGTCAATGAGAAAAGTGATGTCGGAATTAGTACCAGGATTACGTCTGTAATGTCCAGACAGAAGTTTTAGCTGATTTCCTTACCTAAGGCCAGGGTCTATGGGGTGTTTGTAAAATTCTTAGTCTTACCCAGATTTGGTTGGTTGGCTGGTTGGTTGGTTGGTTGGTTGGTTAGTTGGTTGGTTGGGGTTTTTGGCTTCGATGGAAAGAAAGGAGTAGAACTGCTTGTTCTTAATCCTGTAGTGGCTCAAAGACACCACTGTTCTTACTATTTGCAGAAGCTGCTCTTTAATTAAAAGTATGTATATGTCTCTTAATATCCCTCTAAATTATTATGTAATTTAGAAAGGGGCTCAAAATAAACTCTCTAGTTCAAATGCAAAAAAACTCAACACACAGAAACATTATTTCAAGAAGACCTGTAGACAGTATTTGTCCCTCAGGACAGTGTTACTTATGCCTTTACTTGTCCAAAATGTCTATGTGGTTTTAGTTTTTAGGGAGGAAATGTTTTGTGAAACTCAGATAAGAAATGCCATACACTACAAAATTAGTTTTCCTCTATGAGAGTTTCATGGAATGAAGTATGTTATCTTGCATTCTTAGGTACATTTCTACCAAACCAAAGTGGCTCCCAATTTGGAAAAAAAAAAAATGTGCAGTGCTAATGCTTTCAAATGTATTTCTTTATTGCACTTAGGGTTTTTTTAGAAGAACCATTCAGAAAAACCTCCATCCAACCTACTCCTGTAAATATGAAGGAAAATGTGTGATAGACAAAGTAACAAGAAATCAGTGCCAGGAATGTCGCTTCAAAAAATGTATCTTTGTTGGCATGGCAACAGATTGTAAGTACATTTGTCTGTTTTTCTTTCTTTTTTCCTTTTTTAATGTGTGTGTTTGCTTAAAGTATGTTGGGTTCTGAAGCTTGTTAAAGTAGAGCAGAACTGCCAGCACTTTTTTAATAACTCATAGCAGGGAATTTTGTCCATTGCGTCAAACCACTCTCATAAGGCTGTATTTTTTTGTTTACCCTTCTCCAGACTGCACCTTCTCCTGGCCCTACCAGACTGAGTAACAGTAGGAATGTTCACTCTCTGGAGGAGAGGAGGGAGAAGTACATCTGAATGGACACTTTGCTTAAGAAAAAAGCATCTTGTTTATAAAATTCTGGAGGATTGAAATTGAATGTCGTTGTATGAGTCATCCTGCAGTTGTTTGTTTTATTTTTAGCCCTGAAGAAGTTATCTGCTGCAAAGAACTCGACTCTAATTCTAAAGTAATAGAAAATGTGGCTGTAAGATTAACCCTTAGGGGGTCATCTTTTTCTGCCACTGCACAGGGATTTATACCAATAACTTCAATTAGTGCAAGTGGGAGGAAGTCATGAGTCCTCCTGTGCATTGATGTTAATGGTTGTTGCTGGCTTAATCCTCTGCAGAAGAATTGACAGCAAATCAGGTCTAATAAACAACAGAAAAGCACTCATTGTTAATGTGATGTATAACAGTGCCTTCTGTCTAGAGGGAAATAGAAGAAAACACAATTTCATTTTAGCCAGGTAGACTTTCAGGAGAGGGGATAGGTAACCCTGGGTCACCATTTCACATTCAGCCCAGTCTGATGCAGCAGGCAGTGGTGAGCATCAGGCAAGTAGCGCATGTATGGAGTGAGAAGTTTCTCCGAGGCTGGTGCTGACCTGCAGGTGCCATTACCATAAGGCTCCTGTGGCCTTTGTGGGATGCACCTCCTTATAACAGCCAAAGGAGCTATCACTGAGCACAGCAGACAGGCCAACTATTCCCCAACTCAGGAAGGGCTTCTCCTACCTTTGAGTTCAAACATGTGAATGGGAGCATGTAAGTAGGGCTTTTGTTTTGCCTGCCTGCCTGCCCGCCACCAGCTGTGAATCAGAATGGGCCTCCTCTGCAAAAGCAGGCCAGTGAGTTTGAATGGACTACTCATGTTTGCATGGAAAATGGGATAAAACCTTCAGCAGTGGTCACAGATGTGCAGCCCTGGGACCTGTCTGTCTGGCATCACTGATAATAGTGGGGAGCAAGGGGAGTGCTACAGAATGTTACCATTTGTAGGGTTTGAGGAAAAGGCCAAAGGCAGATTGTTTCTGATTGTGTCGTGCAGCAGGTAATTGAGCCTCCTGTGAATAAGTGTTCCCAATTTCTTAAATCCACGTTACCTTCTGCTGGCTTACAAGAACATTCCACACAATTCAGAGCACTTAACACGCTGATACTACTTCAAAGAAAACAAAAGTGTATCTTTCCCATCACGGATTACTGCAAGTATGTTATGGGAGCACTTTGAGTCCTTAGAAGGCTTTTATGTATTAATTTTATAGGCAGAATGAGCAACTGAAGGTAATGGCAGTTAACAAAATGTTACCAGAAGGGTAAATCATTCTTTGCAATCCAGGCATCTGAGAAAATTAAGTTCTCTTGTGTCTCCCTCCAAACTGTGTCAACTGCTGTTCTTACCAAAGTACTTCTTTGCTGATCAGTTGAGGTGTTTATAAGCATTTACTACCTCAGCCATAGAAAAGACCAAGGTTCAGACAGGTTTAAGAGCTTCATTCCATTTCTTTATGCTTTTTCCCCTGCTAGTGGTGTTGGATGACAGCAAGAGGTTGGCAAAGAGGAAGCTAATAGAAGAAAATCGAGAGAAGAGACGTCGGGAAGAGCTGCAGAAAACCATTGGGCACAAACCAGAGCCAACAAATGAGGAATGGGAGCTCATCAAAATTGTTACTGAAGCACATGTGGCCACCAATGCACAAGGAAGCCACTGGAAGCAGAAAAGGAAATTTCTGGTAAGGACTGTAGCCTTTTACACTGCTCTTGGAGCCGGGTTCCTTTCTTTCTCCTGAACTTTTAACTCCTTCCCAACTTTGGAACCCTAAAGAGGGTATAACTGCCAGTGTATTGATGTTTATGAAAAAGGGATGTTTTTTTTATAGTTCCTGCTTGCTTATTCTTGCCTTGAAGTTCAGGGTTTGATCGCACCACGTATTTCGACAGATAAACAGCATGTTGCTAAGTTAAGACTTAACTCAGACGGATAATCTTAATGTGCTATTATACGAAAAAGTAGAAGAATTGTTTCACTCCTGATTGACAACAGTAACATATTATGTATGTATTTAGGGATAATTGTCTTTATTAGGAGCTACTATGCAACGTATTCTAAGTCTTAAAACAATGCAGAGTTTTAGGAGAAAGCTGATGTTTTTTACTAATAACTCATGGTTTTTCATTTCTTGCTTCAAAGTGCACACGTTAATTAAAATAAATCTAGCAAAGAAAAATTAATTTCAGTTAAAGCAGGATGATACATGCACTATAGCATTGGGATTACAGACTACAAGATGACTTACATTTTCATTCAGCCTGTAACTAAGGATCAGAAAATAAATGGTGATTTGTGATGCTCAGCCTTAAAAAAGGATTTATTTGATTTTTCTAAATCGATTTTTAAAGGAAATAAGTGCAGAATCCAAGATGCTGATACAGCACAGAAGAAGGATTATAGACCATATTTCAGGAATACCCAAAGGTCTTTAACAGTATGTGTATAGCAAATTAGATAGAGAATACTCATTTTCTGCAAGCCTAGGCTCCTGCTGCCTCATTCACTATCGGAATCTTGACCCACGGTTCAATTGGTTAGAGAAGTTATATATTCAAACCAGCTGATCCCTTTTATAATGATTTGTTAATTCCAGTGGCACTAAGTTTCTATATGAATTCCATGTTTGTAATAGCGTGCAGTGGAGAAACCACAGCCAGCAAACAATGGCAAGAAGCAACAGAGCGCTTTCCAGTGTTGCTGCACAGCACTGTTTGTGGCACTGGTTTTAGCAGACCAAGAAGCAGCTGCAATAGTGTGTTTGGTTGCTTAGACAGGAGGTCTGTTCTTTGGGTATTGCCTGGTTTAGGATAAAGCCTGAGCAGCTTGACACTGGGGTTGGGAATGAATACACTGGACCACATAAAATGTTCTCATTGAGGGACTTCAGGCTCTGAAAACAATCACAGTGGAAGGGAAGCCTCCGGCAAAGGGCACCCAGAGGCAGAGCACGAGGTGAAGCAATGACAGAGCTATTGAAAGAAGGGAGGGATGGAGCAGAGGCAGGAGGGTCAGTTGTAATGGGCAGCTCAGAAACCAGCTGTGACTTCCACAGCTGGTTCCTACGTCAGACCAAACTGTTCTTGGTGCAGCCCTCATTGCAGGGCCTCCTGGTTCTTTGCAGTGCTCACATGCTGAAGCCCAGTGGTTTCAAGGCAAGCATGAGAAGCTGGCTGACACATTGCAGTGAACATAGAAGGAAAAGTCCATGATGGTATACCGACCCCAGGTGGAGGACTTCGAAAGCCCCAGCCACAAGCTCCTGAAGAACAATAGGAGCTGACTTGCATGTCCCAGGAATGTGGGTCAGTCCTTAGGCAGCTGAGTCTGGTACTTCAACAGCAGGAGCTCCTTTGGGGTCTGGACCTCTTTTCTTACTGAGGTGAGTTAGGTGGCAAGGGTCCTCCAGTGCATGTCCTTCTGGAGTGTATTAGCTTTAGCTAGCAATCCTGACTCCTTTTGCCTTTCCCAAGAAAATGCTGAGTTCTATCTTTTATTCCCTAACAATGTTATGCATGTTTTTAAGCATTTGGTCTTCTTGCTTGGAAGTGACGAAGGTTATTTATCGTGAGCACACAGACAATCTGGTTTAGTTTCCCAAGATTCAGGGAGGGGAGGACCTACAACTGGGATTATTTTAGTTTCTTATTGGGAACCATCAGATAATTGAGCCCAGTCCTCTTCATTGTTCTTTTACACTTGGAGCTTGCTTTATAAACACATTGCTGAGTTTTTTTCTTGCAAGAAGTTAGATTTGGATTCACATTGGTGACAGGGCTGTGGAATGATCTTTTATGATGTGTTGCCTTAAAAAAATAGCCGAGCACAAGCTTTTATTATAGACAGCACTTTCAGCACCTCCCCTGTTCAAGTGCCCTTATATAAATGTCAAGAAGTCTTTAAGGCCACTTTCTCTAGGTTTTATCCAGTTTTTGGCTCTCTGATGTGAACAAAATCAAACCTCTGCATGGCGGCTGGCAGGTCTTTTACAACCACAAAGCCACACTTTGGGAACAGAACAGCTTTGATATGCATGTTTTTAAAATACACAGGAACATTGATGCACTGTCATAAAAATCAGGTGAACAAGTTCAAGGGAGTTGGAATAAAGAAACACTCATCCCATTCTGCTTGAAACTATTTCATTGTATATCCCTATGGGATTAATTCTTTTTTTCAGCTTTTGGAGAAACCTTGGGCTGAAGTCATGCAGAAGGTAATTTTCAACCAAAATTTTACCCAGACAAGCTCTAATTCTAGTCACTTTATCCAGACTGACTTAGTGTTAGACGGTTCTTAGTCATCAGTTGGTTTAGCCTAGTTTTGGAAACAGGCCCTAGCAGTTGCCTGGAGCTCTGTGATGCCACGCAATCTGTTCTGGTAAGGATTTCAGAACTTCGAGTATGTGAAGAGACCAATTCTGCAGAGCTGTCAGCATCTTCTCAGGAATAATAAGCCACCTCAGCTCCCTTTTCTTCTAGAGAAACTTGAGAGTTCTCAGCACCTGTAAGAACCAAGAACAAGCCTACATTTTTAAGTACAAAAAAAATTGCATATAAGCTATACCCACAAAATACTCAGATACGGGCACAAGGAAGAAACTGCATGTGCACACTGTTGCAGCTGCCCACACAGGATGGGTAGCGGTGTTCTACACGCCCATCTCTCTGTGCAGTCACCTCTTTCACAAATGCCTTACAGACAAAAGGTGGCATAATGGCATTACTTACAAAGCAAACTGTGATATTTTGCATTTCAGTGTAGCTTCCATCGCCAAGCAGGACTTTCTAGCATCTAAAATAGTTGCTGTAAGACAGATTGTTCCTTTAAATATATCTGTTTATATCCTTAGCCAGAAGATATTGGTCAGGCACCAATAGTTAATGCCCCAGAAGGTGGGAAAGTGGATTTAGAAGCCTTCAGCCAGTTTACAAAAATTATCACACCAGCGATTACAAGAGTGGTGGATTTTGCCAAAAAGTTGCCTATGTTTTGTGAGGTAAGAAGACTTCCTTGCACTCCTCATGTATATACCTGTTGTTAAAAACTATCCGAAATCCTCCTGGCACAGAACTAAAAAAAATCACTGTGTTTAAGATGAGTAAAGTTAAAGAGACTTGACATAGATGGGACTAGAATCATGTGGAATATTAAGGGTTTTCTTTTTCCTGTGATTACTGAAGTCCTGATTTTGTTCATGTAGAAGTCATTGTGGTTCATTAGGAACTCAAATGTGTCTTAGAGGCAGCCTTGAACAGAACAGATGAACAAAAAGCAACTGTCTAGAAGCATCTTTGAATTGTTTAATCAGATCTCCCAGCACCCAGTTCCCTCTGTGCTTTATGACTCCTTGGCCGGTACAGTATAGTGGAGTGAGTAACAAATCCTTCAAATTCAGAAAGCGTCCATATCAAGGAATAACACTTGCTTCGTTGTGTTCTCTAGGAATGCCTTTCCTAAACAGGGAAGTTATGCATAAAAGAGTCTGTAAAAGTAATGGAATGTCATTACAGGTAGATACTAACATGTAACATACACAGTAAATAGACTCAAGTAGACTTAATTGCACATTAGGAATACAGAGGCCCTAGGCTGATCTCATTTACACTGAGGTATAGGTTTATTGAAGAACCAGGCACAATGGTGATGATATTTATTTCCTGAGTTAAAAAACTGTATCAGAACTGCAACTGGAATAATATTTCAGTCTTAGTAATCTTAATAATGTTTTAACATGGAAATATCCCCAATCCAGCCATGGAAGAATGCCTGCTTGCTTCCTGACAATGCAGAGCAACACTTGACTCTGCTGGTGAAATGCCAGTGGTGAATTATATTCAAAATGGGAGTGACCATGGTCAATGAACATTTGGCTTCCTAACTCAGGAACAGTGTTTCTTCTTCACAACTAAACATCATTCAGGAAGGAAGTTTAAGGCAGCCATAGCATTTTACTGTTCTGTGGCTGGCAGCTTTCTTTTAAGGTCAGTCAGGGAAAGCTATTTATGTCCTCTGGCACCTACAGCACAAGAAGAGGTAAATATCAATAGTTGGCATAGTGTAAATAGCTCTCCCTGGCTACCCTCAGCATTGGCTCCATCAGACAAGTTAAATAGCTCTCCCTGGCTAACCTCAGCATTGGCTCCATCAGCATGAAGTAATGGCCAAGCATGAAGATTTTAAAATGCAGGGAATGTGTCCATAGATCAAGAGGCCACTGCAGCATTCGGTGTCTGAGGGAATTTGTCTCCTCTGATTTGGCATTTGTTGGTGGGAAGTAGCAGTTGATATACCTGTTATTTTTCCATATACAGCAAGGTGTGATAGCAGAGTGAGGGACAACTTGTGAACACAAAAGAGTAGGACAGCTCTCATCCGAGTTGTCAAATAGATCCTGCTGTAGCATGAAATAACAACTGTTTGCTCCTTTTTGAAGTGGAGAAGCAAAGAGCAGGAACCTGAGGTGCTCAGCTCAGTTCCATGGGGCTGCAGTTACATGTGTGCTGGCTGCCAATATGTCCTGCAGGGGTGAGCACCTCAGGTTCCTGCCTTTTGCTTTTTCTCCCTGCAGAGAGAAAAGGAAAAGACAACATGTGACAAATAATCAGTCACATTTGTTGACCTCACTCCTGGAAGGTGTGCTGGTGGTAGCAATGCTTAATTGATGACCATAGATAGCGTTAAAACCGGCGTAGCTGGGAACAGAACTGACATTCAACCCCATCTCTGGTGACTGCTGCTACTGGCAAATAAGACTGGAGACTTGGCATTGTGTCCCATGTATTCTTCAGAATTAGGAAAGCAGATGAATGACAGACATAGTCAGAACACCATGATCATAAAGAAGTTTGAAGAAGGTTCAAGTAGGAAGAAAAATTCTCATTGGTTTAAGTTACTAAAAAAACAGCTAAAGCATCATGAAATACCTTCCGTGTTGTTACCTGTCTCTTTTCCACCATTCTTCCTTCTCCTTACTTTTATTCTTAAGGTCTCTTTCCTTTTTCCTTCACATATGCTTTCTCTCTCCTCTCCCTTCCCCTTCTCATCCTTTGCCTCCCTTTTCTTCCCCTTTAATTTTATTTAATGTTATTTCATTTCTTACTCTTGTTTCTTTCCCTAATTCAGTCTGAGCAGCCAAATAATGGCACTGTCATTGGGTAGTGAGACTTCCACTGTGCCTGTGCAGCCTTCCATACACTGCTGCTGGGCTGAGTGCAATCAGCAGAGAAGGTGATTTGCCCTGAACAGGATGAGTCATTCTTCTTGTGTACCAAACACTTCACACCTGAAGTTGGCATTGCTGGAAAAATAGCTGCATGATTCAACTCCTTTAACTGACTGCTAGCTTTCTGCTTAAAACTGTTCTCTAAAAGGGAACAGCCTTCCACTTGAGTTAGATAGCTGTCTGGCATCCACTCTGCACCATTTTACACCAAATCAATGTACTTGCTTTGCGAGTACACAGTTGCCATGTAAACCTGTAATTGGTGAGGATTTTTTCATTTTGATTTGTGAAACAGGTAAATATAATAACTTTGTGTGAATCAGAAATTGATGGATTTTTGCTTCCTTTCAAGCCAAGTAGAAATGAGTTGCTTTTTCATCTATGTGACCATTGCTGTTTGAGACTGTTAGAGGCAGTCTCAAAATAGTCTTGTGGGTTTTGCTATCATTAAATTACCTATGAAAACATAAAGACATGATTTACAGAATGTGTCTGCATCCTGGTAGCACTATAAATACAGGACCTATCTCCACCAGTTCAGACAGCTTACCTTTCTTGACATTGTGGAAAAGACATGTCTAGCCACATGCCCTAAAGATCGTGCCTTGTGCACCACTGTAAAAGCTGAAGTTAAACCATAGATTTTCTGTCTGTCCAGCAATAATATGGGGACCCTAGGGAGATCAGCCTTACTAGGCTAAAATATAGCTTAAATTTTCTGTTGTTTAAATGGGCAGTGAGAATTAGAGTACCTGCCCTATTCAGTGATTGAGGTATCTGTCCTACAGACAAGAATTTATTTCACTCCTTTTAATTAAAAAGCTGTTCACTCTTACAGACCCTTCCAAATGTCTGGTTTTAACTCTGGCCAGGTAAAAAATAAGCATGGCTGGCTGTGAGTTTAACTGGGATGGCTGAGGTCTGTACCGGCTCCAATTGTACTTTATTCTGTTATGCTATGCTTTAAGCCAAGGGAGTTCGGGAGTAGAAGAGGGAAAGGAAAACAGCTGAGAACAGTGACCCCTTCAGCCATCTCAGTGAGATCCACCCCTGATGGGAGACAAAACCAATAGTATATGTTACCACTAATCTGGCACCTGACAGGTCTGCTTCTCAAATCTTCTGCAAAATGGAAAGCTACATTCTTAAGGTTTATTGGATTTAATTTTATAATGCTCCCGCAAACTGACTGGTCCCACAGAGAGCAGCACATCTGCAAGTGGGGTCACTTCACCTCAGCATCTGAAACAGCTTGATTTGCCTGGAGTATCTTGTCCAGTACCACTTGCCTATAGCTGTGTCATCGCTGAAGTTCCTAATGGTGTGGGGGGATGTTAACCTGCTGGCAGAGTCTGAAAGCAGAAGTATGAGTCTTCAAGTTCTGTGTGGTGCAGTCAGTCAGCAGTGTGTTTGGAGAGTATCTGCACTATGCAAGATAGTGTCCTGGGGAGTGACCCACAACTTCATGCTCATGGATTTACTGTAGTTGTAACACCAACTCAGTTTGGAAAACATCTTTTCCTTTACTGTTTATAATTTCTGCAGCTGCCATGTGAAGACCAGATCATCCTTCTGAAAGGCTGCTGTATGGAGATAATGTCCCTCCGAGCAGCAGTTCGCTATGACCCCGAGAGTGAGACTTTAACACTGAATGGGGAGATGGCGGTGACAAGGGGCCAGCTGAAAAATGGGGGTCTTGGCGTAGTGTCTGATGCCATTTTTGACCTGGGTATGTCTCTTTCTTCATTTAACCTGGATGACACCGAGGTTGCCCTTCTTCAGGCTGTTCTGCTCATGTCATCAGGTGAGAACAGAAGTATATTGGGAACCCAACAATTTTGAAACTCTTTAGTCTTTGTCGCAAGCCTCTTTTTAAAATGAATAGAGTATGTTAGATCTTGTAGTGCTGACTAGAGTAATGTGGGAGGAATCTTCTCTCAAAAACCCCTTGCAGCTTAGAATTAGTTTACTCAACACTAGGAAAAAAATCCAGGGTATTCAGAGAGATGGGTGTGAAAGCGCTTTGGTAACACACCTTGATCAGTGTAGTACTTAGGGAGGAGGCAGGGATGATCATCAGAAAGAAATCAGATCTGGTTCTCAGTCGATCTCCCTTGAATAAAAACCTAGTAATTTGGCAGTAGTTGTCCTTACAGTAAATTCCTTCTTCCCCTATGTGCTGTCATGCACTGGGCAGGATGTACAGTTTACACATATTTCCATCAGTGCTCATATGCTTTTGGATATGAGCAAGATGACTCTCATATGCCATCTTGCACCACTTGCTTTTGGACATTTGAGAGCTGTGCTGTTTCCCCATGCACACCGCAACTGGTCTCTTGGTGTTGTAATACAGAAGCAGCACATTTCATATGATTTCCAAAGTGTTTCTAACCTCAAATCGAGTATGTGTTCAAGTATGCTTCCATTGACTGTGCCAGCCCAAAGAGGAAATTCCATTCTTGGGCAGTGGCAGATTTGGCAAGATTTTGGTTTAAGATGACTTTGAATTGAATTGAGCACTGAATAACAATACACAGACAGGGATTTACAAGCATTAACTGCATCTGAGACAGAAGGGTTTCCACATTAATCACAAGAAAGCGCTTGACCTTCCCAATCAAAATTTTGATTTCTTTTTAGTTCCCTACTCCATGGTACATGAGTAGGGGATTCAGAAGGACCTGCTTTCAGTTCAGTTCAGAGGACCTGCTTTAACAGAAGTGTCTCTTGAAGAGTGACTTGTGACCAAAGCTTTCCCAGTGCCCATCTGCGTGCCACTTGAGACAATCAGTCAGACTTTTGGTGGTGTTGTTCCTTGATGCTCCATAACAGTTTTCTTTGCAGCTTTCCGACTGTGAAGCACTGGCACAGGTTGCCCAGAGAAGCTGTGGCTGCCCCATTCCTGGCAGTGTTCAAGGCCAGGTTGGATGGGGCTTGGAGCAACCTGCTCCCCCCATGGCGGGAGGTTAGAACAAGATGATCTTTAAGGTCCCTTCCAACCCAAACCGTTCTGTTGATTGACCTGTGGATCAAAGCTTGACCAAAGCACTGGTCATACTGTAGAGAAACAGATACGAAAGAACTATGATTTAGATACCTGGCAGGGAAAATATTTTGGTTCTTTATTAGTTGTTTCATAGAAAGGTATAGATAGAAGCCTTAGGTGAGATCAGGGGTCTGTTGCTGTAGTCACTGTAAGGAAACACTTCCCAAACAGCTATACTCTGTATGGACAAAGGATAGCAAAAGGATTATCTCCTTGTTTTAATGAGGCTCGTACTGATAAGTGAGGTGTCCAGGGTCAAAGAAGTTATTTGTGGCAGAGCCAGATGTTCTTGGTTCCTCCTTTCTTTGCTAATAACAGAATTGTGCTATTTTTCCTGATTTATAATCAGGAATTTGTTAAAGTAGATAAGAAATAGCAATAACTCTGCTTTTTTGTATCTACAGATCGCCCAGGCCTTGTTTGTGTTGAGAGGATTGAGAAGTGTCAAGAGGGTTTCCTCCTGGCATTTGAACACTACATTAATTACAGAAAACACCATGTTGCACACTTTTGGCCAAAACTGCTGATGAAAGTGACAGACCTGCGAATGATTGGAGCGTGCCATGCCAGCCGCTTCCTGCACATGAAGGTGGAGTGCCCCACAGAACTCTTCCCTCCGTTGTTCCTGGAAGTGTTTGAGGATTAGAGAGACTGGAGCAGTTCTCCACACCCCCATCACACTACTGGCTGTCATTTCATCCCGTTGTCCATCTCTTCTCACCTCTGTTTGTTCTTCTTCTTCCATCTCTTCTGTTTCTTGAGGCAGGGTTGGCTTTTTGTTCAGTTTTACTTCTGGGGTTACTGGGGGGCAGTTGTGTGCACATGGATGAAAACATCCCTTTAACGCGAGTACTTGTGACTTTTAACTATTGCAATTTGTTCTTTGGTCCTTTGATGTGAATGCTTTGACAGCTTAACAGTGAAAATACAAACAAACTAATCTCATTCACCAGCACTAGCGTGGTCACCAGCTCACACATAAGTTGCTTGGAAACTATGGGAGAGAAATTGAAGTGGCAGAAAATAAATTGGCTTCCAAGGTAAAACAACTATTGTTAATTTGACCCTGACGATTCTGTCTAGTATTACCTCATTTTGCAGGGCACAAGTGACCTGAGATGACGATTTCTAGTCTTTGTGGTTTTTCCTACTGTAACAATCACCATTATGATCTAAGATCTCCGTCATCATCATAATCACATTATTACCTGAGGATTGTTCCAGCAGATACAGTTTAACAGTGCCTCATAAATCAAGTACTTAAAGTAACACAGATTTAGAAGGGACTGGCTCATTTTTTTCCACATGTATAAGAAATTAAGATCCTTCAGTTCTTACTACAGTTGAACTCCATCTAACTTCACTGGAAGGTCTGTTGGAGTAAGGAGGGGAATATGATCCTCTGAGGTGCTTTTTCTGAGAGTGAAAATGTCTGCTTTTTGTGAGGTGTGTGGAAAAATCGTCACTCTGAGGGATAAGGCTCTCTGTCAGGATAGCAGGCTTTCCTTGGAGTTATTCAGGGATATGAATGCTCACAGAATGAGGACAAGGAGAATAAAGTATATGGAGTGACCTTCAGATGGGACAAAACCCAACTGTTTTATTAATGACACTCAAGACTGTACAGCTTTATTCCAGTAATACAGTGTTGCTTGGCTGTAGTCTTTTGGTTTATATATATATATATATAAAGTTTATATGCATGTATATATATAATTTTATATATATATAATTACAAATCATCATCAGATGTCTTAAACATATTTCCATTGTTTTATCTTTTCTCTCTCTCCTACCCTCTCCTCTGTGTGTGTTGATCAGCCTGGTTCTCCCTCCTTGGTGTCTGTATGACTTTTGTTTGGCTAGGTTCTCTCTTTGAGTCTTCTAATTTATTTCCACTAACTGCACTAACAGGAACCAAACTCAGCAATGATGGGATGTTCTGCTGCCAAAATCTGCAAGCCAGTACTCAGTCTTGGAATGTTTGGAGACCGGTGATGAGGGCATGCTAGGTGGAGGTTCCTCTCTGTCGTACATCTCCATTCAGGGATGTTGTCCCTAGGTTTTACAAATTTGATATTAAGCCATTCTCTGAATTTGTATGATACATCAAAAGCATCCTTCTGTTCTTCCTGGGAATCAGAGATTCAGTTCACCTATTCTGCACTTCCTCATATCCCATGTTCTTTCATGTTGTGCATGCATTTGTACCAGTTTCTTTTCTCTGCTATTTATTGATACATTTGTCTGGCAAGTCAGTGGGCATTGTTAGGGTGGATGTGTTGACTTTCAAAGCTCATGGCCCATACTAAGCCTGTATGTTATGTGTTTATCCCCTCATGAAAACATGGTACTCAGGAAAATTTGGTGGTGGAACACAATATGTGTGTGTCAGGGGCTGAATTCTTCCCACCCCTCTTTCCTTGCATCATTGATAATGCATTTGCAGTGCTATTGGCTGTGGTTTCAGGGATTGGAATCTTGTTCTACCTGCTCTTTGATACCATATGCACCTGTGATGAGGTGTAAGCACTGATGTTATCACTTAGGGGGTTGTACCCTTAATTTTGTGAGAACATAAATCACAGTGGGGTGTTTAGGGTTTTTATGCAGGTAGCAAGGAAGACAGACCATTGGAAATTTGTTCTTAAATGTTTGCTGAAGTTGAAGAACCTCTGTTGCGGGCTGTGTTTACTCCATCTCGAAGCATATGTATTAACAGCATCGGTCTCTATCTAAACTCCTTGTAGAGAACTGTTTACTGGGGGAAGAAGAGCTTAAAAACTTTCCAGCTTTTTGGAACATGAGACCAGAAAATCTGATGAACTTGCATGTACTCATGTGGAATCTCAGATGAGCAGCATCTGTCATAAAAGCATAGTCAGTAAAGAGTGCAAAATACCTCATTTGGAGGTGGTTTCATAGGGAATTGATAGCACAGGGAAAGCAAAAAATCAACAGACCCATTACCTGTATCTATACCCACAGTGGCTTGCAAAGAAAAGAGAATTGTGCATGTCCTCTGGAGTTCTACCACAGATCTGAGCATGGAGTTCCTCATGAAGCCAGTGCAAGTATCTCACCTGTTTGCTAAATGTCATCTTGAACTAGTGTATAATCTTTTGACCCTGATGTGAATGAGACCCAGGAGAAGAAACACCATGTTTCTCCTAGTAGTGCTTGCAATGATCTCACTACAAGATCCACAATGTTTCGTATGTTTTTCAGAGCTTCATTTTCTGGAGTTCTGCAGCTGCTTGAGAGGTTCTTTCTGTCATTAAGGTCAACAATTCTTACCCTTTGGGCTATAAAGAAAATCAGTAGGCTAAATGTTAAATATTTAGGTGGGAAGTCACTACCCAAAAGTGACTTAGCTCATAACTGTTGTGGCCCTTATGCCTGGCTTTTGAACACTTGGGATTGTCAGGACTGCATTATTCAAAATATAAATAAAGATCAGAGGTTAGAAAAAAAATGTGAGAGTTACTGGATTGACCTGGGGAAACAGCAAGAGGAGGATCAACTTGAAGCACCCTGGACAGAACTGCAGCTTGAGACAGTGCTGAGAATTAACACTTTGCATTACTGACTGCTGTGAAAATCACTGCTTGTACAGAAACTTGTACCCAGAGCTCTACCATGGCAAGTTATAAAGTTTTAGAACAGCTTGCATAAATGAATGTCTGAATTCAAGCATGTAAGCTGCCTGAGTTAGTGGCCTGACTTCCCAAGGTGCTGATGTAGTTTGGAGTTGTGCTTAATCAGGATTCAGAAAATAACCTCCTTAGGTGGTTGCAGATGGACTGAAGTACTGAAAATCAAGCAACCAACTTGATAGGTTTGGCAGGGTTCTAAGCAGAAAGGACATATGTCAGCATACTTTTCTAGCTTTTTAGATTAAGCTGGAGTCTAGCACTGATTAACAGGGCAGGATTAGTAGTAGTCAACTGAAAACTAAGACCAAGCTCTTAGTTTGACAGATTTGATGTACTGACATCTAATGGCCTCTGATCTCCTACCAGTCTTATTTTGTGTAACTTCATTTACTCCCTCAGTATGACTCCTGATTTATGTGATGATGAAAGCAAAACTCGATCACATGAGGATGTTCTTGAAGATTCTTACCAGTGGATACTGGCTGTAGTTCTGCAAAGGCATAGTTGTTTTTAACCATCTGAGTGGCAGACATCAGTACTGCAGTCAGCACGCTTTGTAGTAGCTGGCCTTCTGAGTAAAATAACAAACATACACTTTCCAGTGCAGTCCCAAGTCTCATTTCTGATGGTGCCACATAACTCTCATTTTTGCTTTGTGGTCTGTGTGTTGGTCTCACGTAGGAGATTCTTCCTGTCAGACCTGATTGTCACCATTTATGGTTTTGCCCTGAGTAACTCGTGCATTTAGATACTCATTTCATGTGTGATCTCAGTTATGATATTTATAATGACATAAACAGTGTGTGATAATGATTTTTGTTTACATTCTGCCAAAATACAGACCTTAGAGAGAGACTTCCAAGGTCCAAAATAACTCTTGAGCAGACTGCTTGCTTCTTCAGAGGCAGGCATCAGAAAAGAGGAAAAAACTGTCCAGAAAGACCATTTATATCAGCAATCTGCCAGGACAGGGCTGTTGATAACAAGCAGAGCATGTCATTGCTAGTGATGTATTTTTATGCTATGGAACTCTAAACTGTATGTGTCATATTGACTTCTTGCTGCATGAATCATAAATTATACAAATCGGTCTTATGGTTTTGAGATGTAGCCAGCATTCCTAAGGCTAAACCTTTTTCATTGGTGGAATTAAACTCCACAACCAAGGAACATACTCCTCTCACTGTGAGAGTAATTGAAAGTGTTCAGCATTTATCTTTTCACAAAGGAAGAGGCAACAGGACCTCTTGATGTGTCTTGTTATTGTGATCATCTGGAAATGATTGCCAGACGTTTCCTTTTGATACAGCGATGAAGTGATCTGTATTTAAATTTTATAGAGAGAATTTTATTCTAGTGTGATAGAGATTTATTTTCCATTTAAAAAACTCAAAGCGATGTGAGCACGGTGAGGTGGTTTTTTTTACTATGGTATATTTTTGCTTTAAAATTAAAAACAAAAAAAAAAAAGGTTTGGCCTTATCACAAAGTTCTAGCATAGATGTTAGCAAATGCAAAGAGTATGCATTATTCGTGTGTATCCACATTGACTGATGTCGCCTTCAAAAAGCAATATTGTGCAGGTAATAAGGTGTTTGTGACTGTCCATTGCACAGTTTACCTTCTTTAAAAGCTAATCTTGTTTATGCACAAGACAATCAAATGTAAATCTACATCAGCACCCAGGTGTAGATTAAATATATGTAAATTACTGAGCACAATGTAAAACATTAAAAGACACTTTATTTAATTACACATTTAATGTTGGTAAAGATAGTATCAGGGCACGAACTAGCTGACATACTGTAATTTCTTTTTTTCTACTTCCTTCCCACTCTTCAGTTTTAGTTTGCTGATAAATACATCAAATTAGTCATTTGTAATTTTTTGGAAGAGAAGAGTGGTTTGGGTTGTTTATTTGTTGTTATGGAGCTGGTTGGGACGATGTCTTACTTTGTCTATGAGGTCTGTGGGTTTTGCTTATTTGGCTTATTTTTTTTTATATCAGTTTCATGCCCTGAGGGTAAGGCAAACATTACACCACACAGTAAAAAACAAAGTACCTTGGATGATGTATTTTTTTTGCAAACAGTGTTAAGAGTTATGCTAGATTGGTAATATTTTTTCAGCCTAAAATATATTAAAACAAAATCTGTGATCACAAATGTTTTAAACTATCTAAAGAGAAAATTTGTATATTTGGGGGAAGAAAATAATTTTTACATAGCTTTTGTATGCAGATATTAAAATGTAATTATGACTATAGTGGGCATAGATAACTGTGTAAGCTTGAATTCTAAAAAAAGAAAAAGCTGATAACTGAGAAGTCCTCCTGGTGTCTCTGTGTCTTTGTTGCAGGCTGTTTTGTCAGCTCGGTCGCACACTTCGAGCTGCTGGAATGGGAAAAGTAGGATCCAGAGCAAAATGTTGTATCAACTCTAAGTTGTTCACATTTCTGGCCTTCTACATCCCTTTCATCATCCACGTTGTATCTTACCTCCTCTCCTCCCCTCCCTTGGGCACCCAACCAGAGGTTTTCACTTCCCCGCTGCACACATTAGCCAAAATTAATTCCCCCTATTGAATTGACTCTTGATTTATGTCTCATTTACATTTTTGGAGGGAACGCCCTTTCTTGCCTTCTCCCTTCACAATCTAGAGGAGCATGGTGTGACAGGAGCAATAGGCTTCATTTCTCTTCCCGCTTTACATGCCTCAGTATCATACCTGTTGGAGAAGCTCTCCTCATTCAGATGTTATCTGCCATCTCATATTCCTTTGCAGTTTTGATTTCTTCTCCAATTCGTTCAATCCCCTCAGGAAGAAAAGCAAGACCTAGAGTCTGGATCCAAAATCACTTCTTGGCCAGCCACAGATGGGAAACCTGTTTAAGGCTGTTGCCTCACAGTGATTTCCACAGGCACTTACGGGCTGACCGCCAGCTCTTGTTCCTGCTCCTCTTCCATGTGAGGTGCTTGGAGCCTTCAGATGGGTGCTGAGCCCCCTGAACTCCCTCTGCCTGGCATCAGTGTCCCTGGGGAGCACTGTGCAGGCACCTCCAGGGTTTGCTCCCATTGTTGGCCATGGCAATAGGGCCTGCCTTCAAAGCAGAAACTCCATCTGAGGAGAAATGAAATCCATGCTCTGCTCTCAATTTGATGCCTTCAAGCATTTCATTCCAGGCACCTGAGTGAGGAAGTCAGTGAAGAGCTCTGCTGGGTCTGCCCTGAGTGAGCAGGGATGTGGCTGCTCAGGCCCTCCAGGACCAGCTCTGGAGCAAGGAATCGATTTGCTGCGTAACAACTTGTTTACTTGATGTGCATAAATAATTGTGCTCCCACAGCCCCCAGTGCATGAGCTGTGGCATTTTCAGCCTGTGTTTGTAGTGGTAAAGTCTCTGTTTTACAAAAAGCAGCATGAGATGTGTGGAGAGAAGCAGTGTTCTGGCACCCACATTTATTTGCTTCAGTGCATATTTATTACCACAGAGAAGGACATGAAAGATGTTAGGTTCTCCCCCAGAGCAACTGTAGTGACACCACCTATGTTCTGCTGTCTGTTGTGAGCTGGGTCATGCATCCTGAGCCTGTTGAACACACAACTGCAGTTTGTCCTCCCTCTTGGTGACAGTGGGTGAGGGTTTATTTACTTCCCTCAAAAACTGAGCTACCTCTAAATGGTTTTCTCAGTGTAAACAGTCTAACATTGAACAACCGCGTGTCTTATGGTCGTGACCTGTGTGGTATTCCCAGTAGCACCACTGGTTTCAAAGTGAACCATGTTTGTACTGAGTAACTGCAGATAAACCATCTTTGAAATAAGAAGAGGATAGGTACAAAAGTCCCTCCACTTTTTATCATATTGCACTACTCCTTTACCAGGTAGAGAAGACTCTTTCCCAAATTGGATCAGAGAGTGTCTTTCTCTCCTCTTATTCGTGTGTCTGGGGGAGAGCACTGGCCCTGCAGTTACTGACTCCAGCTGCCTTGGTTAGGCACAAAGAAAGATATGCCAGAAACCCCTTTTGCCAGGGTCAAGAGGCAGATTTCAAGAGGGATTAAAACAAAAGAGGAAGCCCCTTTGGATAAATTATGAGAGCTTTGAGACTTCTGAGGTCCAGGAATACTGAAAAACATGTAGGATTCCTGAGTTAGAGCACCCAAAGGCAGAAAAAGAGAAGACTTCTAGGTCATCCCGACCTTGTGGTGCCTTGGAAAACTACTAACTTGGAAAAGTGGTACAAGTTCAGTACCCTGTTGTGCAGAACTGGGGTGGCCTTTTTCAGGGAAAATAATACAATCTATAGCAGATTGTGTTTGGAAAACACAGTGTGAAAAAAGTAGAAAAGGACATCAGCAAATCAAAAGCAAATCCAGGAGTGAGTCATTTCATAAATGCCATTGGAATTTGAATTTGAAGGATGGTGTCTGAATGGGTATGGGAGTAGCTTTAAGCAGTGTCTCTCTGAAGTGTTGCAAGTATAAAAGCAGTTTTGCAAAACGCAAACAAAAGCAGTATTTAAAAGGGAAAAGTATGTGTTATAGGTAACTGCAAGGTCTTTGATATCTCCCTGCTGAGAGATAGGAGCAAAAAGGGGAAGAAGTCCTTGCTAACAACTATAGAGCCAGAAAGCTTCACTGCCTGATGCAATGTTTAAAATGGAAATGAAAGCTTGGGCATAGATGAATGCATATATAATGCTGCAGTAGGAGTTGGCTAAGGCTGAAAATACATCCAAAGTGAAATCTCAAAGACATCTTCTTCACTGTAAGGAGCAGGAAAACAAAAAGTTTGAAAAAGACTTGAAAGAAGCCTCACAAATACAGCAGTGTCTGAGGAGAAGGCAATTCCTGGCTAAAGCACTAAAAAAGAAAGGGGGGGGGGGGGCGGGGAACGAAAGAAAAAGAGAGGGAAGGCAGGAAGGGAGGTAAGGAGGAAGGGAAAAACCATTGTTAGAACAGAAAGAGCAGAACAAAATGTGTGCCCAGGGGTAAACAATTCAATGTGCACAGGGACTTCTCATGGTCCAGACAATCCTAGATTTGTTTGCTTATGATGAAAACATGCATGGCTTCAGGTTATTATTCTTTCTCTTTCTCTCCAGGATTAGCCTTCTTAGGAACAGGCAAAGGATAACGTAAGCTAGCCTTGCACCTTGGATCAGTGTTTACTAAGGTGTAAGAGAGCAGCTGCAGTTAACTGCAGATAATGGGCTTTGCAGCTTAGTGGAAGCATGTGGCTGTGAGCATGTGTTGCACCAGGGCCTGCTTAGCTAGCGTGCTCTGAGCAGCAGTGCTGTCGTAACTGTAAGGAAGCTACAGAGAGAGGCTGAAGTGACAATTATCATTTCCTGCCTTCACAGGACTGAGTTTCAGGTTAGCATCCTTCAAACTGGGACCCTTACTTGATGAAAAGTGAGGTATGCTGAGTTTGTGTCTAGTCAGATTTAAAGAAAAAGCTGGAAATAATTGATGTGTCTCAGAGGCTGACTCTTGTGCCACCTGAAGTTAGAGCTGTAGTTAATGGCAAAATGTGAGAGCCAGGCAGAAGTTGTTCCTTGCTTCCTGTGAAATGCAGGAGAGATCGCAGGTACTGTCAGTTGCTTTGATAAGAGGCACGAGAATGTGTTTGGCAACTATAACACAGAAACATAATCCACAATTTAAGAAGAGTATATCTTGGTGAAGTGGGTCAGAATCAGTGGGTATGAGCAGCGGAGAGCCTACAAGATGCAAAGCCATGAGCATCCCAGAGGACTGAGTCAGTGAGCGGCTTGGGAACATCTAACTCAATACACTCTTGTGTGGCCGAGTTCCTTCACTTCTGGGCAGAAATAACTGTTCACATTTCTAGCCTTGCTAATCTGATTTGCCTCAAGCCTTGGCTTCACACAGTTGAACACACCTACATGCTATTTTTCCCACACATGTTTTTTCCTGATCTGGATATGATGACAGTGTTTTCAGCTTCAGAACAATGCTAACAGCCTTCCCAGCTTTTTCCTTTTTTTTTTTTTCTTTTGGTGGGAAAGCAGGTTAGTAAGGATTTTAACCAGGAGATGTCAAGACAAGGTGGGTGTCTAGGACAGGACAAGAGCCAGGTTTCAGAACCACTTTCATGAGCTGCGATGCTGCAGTTTTATCTCTCTGCAGCTCCAGAAGGCTGATGCCTGCAATATTTTCATTTTCATCAAGGAAGTAAATTAAGATTTTCTTTCCCTTTTTCTGTGGGCTTCAGCAGGCACTCAGAGGATGTTTGGCTTCCTCATTGCCAAGATGTTTATTTCTGCAAAGTCAAGGGAGCCCCTCTCAGCTGTTGTCGTTTTGTGTCTGCTGCAGATGAAAACTCTCCTCTTGCTCAATGTGTATTTTAAGCAGAGGTTGATCAGTAAGAGAGAACACTTTGCACTGACCTTCATTTGTCCTTCACTCCTATGTGTCACACACATGCACACACTGACTCCTTGGCACTTTTCAGCATGTGGTAGCAGCTCCTGCCTTTGGATCGGAGGTGAGGTGCCGAGGTCTGATAAGAAGGAAGGCTATTTTGGGTGGATGCCAGTACTTTTCATTGAATGGAAACTGCCATCACTCTAAAAGTGCTGCAAAACTTTATATTCTTTGTGAGAGGAAGAAGATTTTTTTCCTATTGCATGAGTTAAGGATCAGCTATGAAAACCTCACTTCTCTCTGCTGCTGCAAGCTGTAAGATAGCTCAGGACTGTGTTATTCTTGGACCAGATTTGAAGTAGTCTAGCACTGAACCCAAGAGCATATTCTCAGCTCTAATTTGCTCAGTCCTAATATTAGAA